GTAGCAGCCCTAGTTTGTAGGCACGTTTTTTTTAAATAAAGCTTAGTCTGAAGTTTAAGCTTAATGCATCTTTTCTTAAAACCAAACTTAATCTGATGTTAGGAACACATGTCAAACTTAAAGATTATATTTGAACAGCTTGCTGCGACAGACTCACCACATTCCTCCTCTTCSTCTGTAGAGGCAGCCAGCTTCGCCCACCATGGCTTAAACTTCAGCAGCCGATTTATCTCATCATCTTCAAACAAATCAGCCCTGCGGTAACACAGGTAGGTTTAATATCACCAGCAGCCCAGACCACACCAGCTCGGTTCTGGTAAAYGGTTTTGTTTTAACTCACAGGTAATGGTCTGGAGAGAAGGCTGATGCTTCTGCTTCCAGCCGAGCCTGACGTCTCTCTGCTGCTGATGTTCCCTCTGGGTTCTTAAGGTCAATCACATCACTGAGTTCCTCCTTTTACAACATTCAAAACACAATCATTCTGGTGAGGTCGATGAAAAAAGATTTTAATTAATTATACAAACTTAAAATKAACCAAACTGATTAAAAACCCTTAAACTTACCTGTAATCGTGCAAATACCCCAGATCTCTGGTTACCAAAACCATATTTCTGCAGGACACTCAGCTCTTCTTCAGATCTCTCTGTGTAAACTTCCTGTTCAATCTGCCAGTCAAATTCTTCATCATCTTCTTCTTCTTCATCTCCAGCACCTTTACAGCAGGCTCCTCAAGAGTTAAAAACCTCTATTAATCCATCATTTTCCCAACATTTGCTTAACTTAAACTGAGAGTCTAAAATCAAAAGGAAAAAAAAAGAATAAAATACTAAGACTTACCCATGCTCACATCTTCCACCAGTGGTTTTGCTGAACGGGAGCCTTTTGGTGCAAGAAGACTTGTGAGCATTTGAAGTCCTTCAAAGTGCTCTCCAGGTGTTTCTTTAGGGACCTGAAGTGTAAAAAGACCTACAGCAAAACAAGACACGATGAGAGGATTAACAAGAAAGAAGCTTTGATCTGTACAACTTTGTAACATTTCATTAACAAATATTGATCATTGATGAGACGTCCATGTCCCACAAAGATGTGAGGTTTCATGAAAACCTCAGCTGCGTTGATGCAGAGCACTACACATGAAATGTGTGACAAATATCTCYATTATATCATTTTCAAAACATGAACTAAATAGTTTTGAATTAACCTTTTCTGTGAAACAGATCTGTTTGTTTCTTAGACTTTTAAAKCCCTCAGCTGGGTTGTCACAAACAGTGAACCACTGCTTCATCACACCCTCGACCTTCACAGCTGAACTTTTCACATATATAAAAACAATCACAGTGAAGCCCCGCAAAGTTGCATTTCAAAGTTTGCAGACTCAGCCTTTTACARTTTTTTTCATGGAACTACTAACTTGTATATTATATTCATTCGTTACACATAAACTGACATATTTCTAAATTTTCTTTTATTTTTGATGATTATAATTAGCCTGGTTAAAACCAGACCCCTGTCCTTCACTTTGCTTGGTACAAGGGTCTGGACTTCATGCATAGAGAATCGTTTCTTGCAGGAGGCGTGGCCTCTGCTGAAGCATGTGTGTGTTGTCGGTGTGAAGGAGGCTAAGCTAAGAAGTTAACCGGAAATCGCGAGCGCTGTAAACAACCCTACTGAGAGGAGAAATATACCGAGCCGAACGAGACGACTTTAAATGAAAGCTGCTGCTTTGTCAGACAAATTTATTTGAATTTGGAAGTCTTATCAACACAGACTGGCTTCATTCACTTCCTCCACTGCTSWWTGCTAAAATAACTAGCAGACACTGCGCAGAAAGTCGACGTCNCAGAAAGTCGACGTCGTTCAAAACTCTGCCTTCTGTTCTCTGATTGGCCCAGGTAAAATAAACTACAAGCAGACACTGCGCAGAAAATTGATGTTCTCTTCTCTGATTGGCCCGGCTAAAAATCTGCCAGCAAAATCCATCKCAATGGGAGAAGTCCCAGACGAAGCAGTGAAGGGAAACTAGAATTGAGCGGAGCTGTGTAGGAAGGCAAGGGTCAGGCTAGACTATAATTATAACTATGTTATTAAAACTGACAACTAATGAAAATCCCATATTCAGTATCTCAGAAAATTAAAATATTACTTGAGACCAATACAAAAACAGGATTTTTAGAAATGTTGGCCAACTGAAAAGAGCAAGTACAGCACTCAGTACTTAGTTTGGGCTTCTTTTGCCTGGATTACTGCAGCAATGCAGCGTGGCATGGAGTCCATCAGTCTGTGGCACTGCTCAGGTGTTCTGAGAGCCCAGGTTGCTCTGATAGTGGCCTTCAGCTCTTCTGAATTGTTGGGTCTGGTGTATCACATCTTCCTCTTCACAACACCCCATAGATTTTCTATGGGGTTAAGATTAGTTGAGTTTACTGGCCAGTTAAGAACAGGGATACCATGGTCCTTAAACCAGGTACTGGTAGCTTTGACACTGTGTGCAGGTGTCAAGTCCTGTTGGAAAATATAATCTGCATCTCCATACAGTGGGTCAGCAGCAAGAAACACGAGGTGCTCTAAAACGTCCTGGTAGACAGCTGCGTTGACCTTGGACCTCAGAAAACACAGTGGACCAACACCAGCTGATGAAATGGGCCCAAACCATCATTGACTGTGGAAACTTTACACTGAACCTCAAGCAATGTGGATTCTGTTCCTCTCCTTTCTTCCTCCAGACTCTAGGAGCTTGATTTCCAAAAGATATGCAAAATTTACTTTCATCAGAAAACATAACTTTGGACCAGTCAGCAGCAGTCCAGTCAGGTGTTTTGAGTTAATTATCTGATTAGAGTGTGGCACCAGGTGTCTTTATTATTGAACTGTTTCGCAATATTCTCTTTTTCTGAGATACTGAACTTGGGGTTTTCATTATTTGCCAGTTATAATTATCAAAATTAAAGGAAATAAACATTTGAAATATATCAGTCTGTGTGTAATGAATGAATATAATATACAAGTTWCTGAAATAAATCAACTTTTTCATGATATGACGTGACACATGCCCTGTGTCCACACACTGCACAGAGCACAGCATTTCCACCTTCCAACAGTACCGTGTGGTGTGTAGCTACTAACTGTTTAACTCTTTTGTGCTTTTGTTTGGTTCTTACCACATTAAGATGCCACACCAAACATGTACCGGTAGGCCTTTTCTGGACTGCATTTAATATTGTTTTTTTTGTTTGTTTTTTTTTTCATGATTTGCAGGTGCTCCAAGAACGTAACCTCCCATGACAATTGAGGCTCCACATTTGTTTTTGTTTTTCTTYCGGCTGCTACCTTCTTCAGGGGTCACTACAACAAGCAACAAAGGTTTTGTTTTACACCTTTCTAATGAGCCTAACTTTAGATTTGAAGGTAGTTTAATACTCCATCAAAATCAGCCCTGAAAATCGGATCATTTCGTTCTCAGAGGCTTTTCCACCCCTTCTTGACACAAGACCCAGGTCAAACTTTTTTTCTCACAGCAATACTGTGTGATTGGTCAGACGTTTGTGGGTGTGTTTATGAAGAAAAGAACTCTGTGGTGTCATTGACTATTCGAGTCATTGTCGTCAAMTACTCTGCTTCCAGAAGCCGGCTTTTGTATGTGCAAGCAACACGGACAGCTTAGAGGAGCAGATGGCCGAGGCAGTCAGAAAATGCACCCATCTGTACAATTCTTACCGACAGACTTATAAAGATAATCAAATGGCCAAAAACTCCTGCATGGAGATGGCACAGACGTGGATGGAGGAGTCAGTCAAAGAAAACGTGAGGCCCTCTATCCGTGGCCAAACGATGGATGCAGGGATGGAGCAGAGACCCTGACRGGAAGAAACCCATACTGTGATGCGTAACAGCAGCAGGAGGGGTCACTGACTATAAAGGATGTGTGTGACAAAAGAAACATCTTGCAACCATGTGACAATGAGCTGACATCTTGGCTTCAAACAGAGTATTAAACAACCTTTAGGGCAAAATTGTTTTACCCTGATAAATAAATTGGATTTCAGGGGCTGTTTATTGTCACTGTAAGCAAACTGGCCATAGATAACGAATGACAGAAATGATTCTGCCACACCCCAAAGACAGCTGTCTAAAGTCCTCATAAAGTTTTAACACCCAAGTGTTACAGCTTAAAACACTTTACAAAACAAAGTGTCTAATTGGTTTGAAATAGAGAGGCTGGGAGTGATGCTAATGACAGACCATTAGGAGTCTAAACAAAGACACTCGTTAGCAGAGCTTTATTAGCAAATGTTACCTACAGGCACAGTTTGTTAGAAACAGATATAGAGATGGATAAAAAGAAGTCAAACAACATCCAGGATGCAGATGTCACTGTAAAAACTTCAAAAACGTACACTGTGGTGCAAAGCTTTGGGCAGCCTTGTTAATTTTCCTGGTTTACCTTTAAAAATCATTGATTATTTGGATAAAATAAATCAGTTGAAATATATCATATAGGGGACAAACACAGTGATATTTGAGAAGTGAAATGAAGTTTATATGATTTACAGAAAGTGTGCAATAATTGTTAAACAAAATTAGGCAGGTGCATAAATCTGGGCACTGTTGTCATTTTACTGATTTCAAAACCTTTAGAACTAATTATTGGAACTTAAATTTGGTTTGGTAAGTTCAGAGACCCTTGACCTCCATACACAGGTGACTCCAATTATGAGAAAGGGTATTTAAGGGGAACAATTGTAAGTTTTTCTCCTCTTTGCATTTTCTCTAAGGAGTGGCAGCATCGGAGTCTGAAAACAACTTTAAAATTAGCGGAAAACAAAGATAGTTCACCATCAGGACGGATACAGAAAGCTATCTCAGAAATTTCAGCTTTCAGTCTCCACTGTGAGAAACATTGTGAGAAAATGGAGGACCAAGGTTCAAAGTGGCAGACCAAGACAAATCTGGAATAAACAGAAGTGAAGGATGTTGAGAACAGTCAGAGTCAACCCACAGACCAGCACCAAAGACCTACAACATCATCTTGCTGCTGATGGAGTCACTGTGCATCGTTCAACTATTCAGCACACTTTACACAAGGAGATGCTGTATGGGAGAGTGATGCAGAGCATGGGCATAACCGCCATAGGCACCGGGTGGGACATGTCCCCCGACTTCCGATATCTTTGCCCTCTGTCCCCCCCCCC